TGGGGCAGTGTTGGAAGTCCTTGCCGAAGATCTGCTGGCATTGCTGGTCCAGGCTGTACAGGGCTCCTTGGCCGGGCAGCTCGGCGGGCAGGGAGAGGGGGTCAGCCGGGGCATCGAGCAAGCAGTCGCCTGGGCAAGGCAGAGATGCATCAAGGCTTGACGCCATGGGTTGCACCAAGCAGGGCACCCCAAACCTCTGTCTGTGGCCTGTTTTGAACCCCCTTCATCCCACACACCCCTCAAGGTGAGCAATTAAGGAAAAGGCTTTCTGGAATGATGAAGCTCCTTACCGTGCCCTCCGTCCAGGAACTCGGTGAGGTACATGGCGCTGCATGGGGACCACGGCTGGGTCTTGTTCAAGTGGATGAAAAGAGGAGCCATCATATGGTGCTTGCCGAGGGGCCCGAAGAGCCGCTCACAGGTCTTGGAGTCATCGTGGGGCATGCTGAGCACGTGGCCTGGGGAGCAGAGGGCATCGGTGAGCCGCAGCCTCCCAGCCCCTGCTCTGCTGCAGATGATGCATGGGCAGCTGGGAGCATAAGTCACCAAGCAGTTCCTATCGCTGCACAAGCTATTTGCGTTGACAAAGCAGAAGCGATAAACAAAATGGTGCGTGCGTGCTCTCTCTCAAAGGTCCCGCCCGCTGTATGCGGGGCAAAGCAGCCCAAATTAGTCAGTGCACCTCTGGGAGTAGCAAACCAAGGGGGAGAAGTGCTTGGGCCCACGCCGTAGCTCATCACATCAGGCAAGTGCACCAATTTACACCAACTCGGGGACTTCTAAGCGCGTTTGTTGGTGCAAACCAGTTTCTGCCGGTGCCAGAAGCTCCCCAGCGCTGTCCAAGGCTCGGCGGGTGACACCCAGCCGGGAGGTGCTGCTGCTGGGCTGTGCTACGTCCCCTCCCAGCAGCGGGGCTGGCCAGGCCGGGCTGAAAAAGCAGAACCAACCCTCCGCCCCCCACCCCAGGGAAAGGATGCGTTACCCAGTTCGTGAGCGAGGGTGTAGGCTGCCTGCAGGCCCTCGTCCTCGATCACCGAGCAGCTTTTGTTGCGGTCGCACATGGTGCCGATATCCGCCACTCCCAGCGTGTCGCAGCTTTGGTGTCCGCAGAAGTCCTGTTTGTGAGCAGCGCCGAGGGGGGTAAGGCAGGGTGAAGGGGTCCCACGTTTGGTAGCCCCAACATCTCCGAGCAGAGCTGGGCAACCCATTGGGGCTCTGCACCCCAAATGCAAACCCCCCCCCCGGCATTGCTTTGCTACAAGCTCTATCCTTTGCACAGTGGGGGAATCCCTCCTCTCCCTCCAGGGACACGTCAACCCCTTTCGTCTACCCCCCAGAGCATCGCCAAGGGACCCTTCAGACCTGTCTCGTCAGCAGGATGGCGGTGTCATAGTGCTCCGGGTGCCGGTCACTTGGGGGGTTGAACCTTTGCTGCCAGCTGCAGAAGTTGCGGAGGGTAAGCCCGCCGTTGTCGGACACCTCCGGCCCCGCCGCTGCCTCGTCCACCACCAGCACCTTCACCACCACCAGGTTGATGGAATTCTTCAGGCTGGGGTGCTTGTAGATGCGAGCCGCCATGGACATCAGGGTCAGGACGTGGTTCTGCGGGGAGAGAGGGGGGCAGGCAAAGCCTGGGTGAAACCTTTGCCGCGGGGCTCTTTTTTTTTTTTGGTTAGGAAAGGAGAAATCAACCTCCTTTATGACACCTACCACATCCAGACCGACTCAGGCATCCACCTGGGTTGATGGACTAAGTGCTGCCTTTTCTGTACGTGATGCTTTACACCTTGTGCCGGCGGGAAGGACGGGCAGGACATGCCCACCCCTGCATCCCCTTCTCCACCTGCCACGAACCCTTTGCACCCAGAAACCCTTCGGGAAAACCTCACGTGTCCCAGCGAGTGCTCTTGCATATTCCCAAAGCATTAACCCTGCCCTCGCCGCCCCGGGGCAGGAACCGCCTTGCGCACAACCTCCCGCGGGCGCAAAACCACCCTTGCACGGCTGTAAAAATCCTGCCCGCGCTGGTGGGCAGGGTTTGAACCCAACGTCCTCGGCGACAAACCGGGGCCAAAGCACTTTGACAGCCGAGTCTTTGTCCAGCAGCATCCCCTGCTCGGGCAACGGAGACAACCAGAGATTACTTAATATGTCAAACGCGCCAGGGATGTTTAGGCTGATGTAAACATCTTATCGGAGCATCAAAATTCCTCCTCTGCTTGGCACCCGTTCACGGCCCCGGAGTCAGGAGAAAAAAATGCAGCTATTACACAATATAGTATTGGGAAAGAGAAAGTGGCTTCTCTCCTCCCCAGACGAATTACACCCCGTGGTCCCGCTTCAGCACCACTGTCTAATTAAACTGGAAGGACTCAGTGGAAGCCCTCTCGGACGGCTGTTTCGCCCAAAATCCATGTTTCCTGAGTGGAGCTGGCTCTGCGCGCTCATCCATCACGATGCTGCCGGGACAGCGATATGCACAAAATGCCATTTTCCTAGCAAGCCAGGGAGATGTTTAGGGAGATACGCCCCTCTCCTAACAGCAATGGCATATATGATGCACCGAGAGCCGCTCGCCCAGGGCAGTTGTGGCCATTTTAAATTATTCTGCCATACTTTATCCCACCGCTGGCAGTTCCACGCAAACAGATGTCTCGCTTCAGCAAGACGTATCCCAAGTCCTCCCCGGCTCATTATCCAAGGGCAGGCCCTGGCGAGGATGATGGGAGCGCTGAATAGAGTGGTTTATTTAGACTGGCCAGATCTCCACAACATGACTCACATCCCAGCCCGAAGCATGCAACAAATGTCACGGAGAAGTCACCACCAAGGCAAGAAACCCAGGCAAGATCCCCATGAGTGGTTGCTCCAGGGGACTGTTTACCCCACAGGGAAAGTCCATGGGGAACCTTCCTAAAAATATCACAAAGCCTCCCTAAAATTACACGTGTGAAGACCTGGAAGGATGCTCTGCACTGGGGCTGCGCATCACGGGATCATCCCTCGTTTCCAAGGGAGCAAAGCCTGCCCCGTCCTTTTCTAACCTGTTACAGGTTTCTCTCCACCCTGGTAGTTGTTACCTGGGAGCTCTCAGTCCCTACTGCAAATCCCCCAGGACACGGACCCTCACATCCTCAGGGTTACATCCAGCCAAGAAACTCAGCAGCAGGAGCGGAGGGACTCAGAAAACATCCGTCCGCCTTCCCTTTGTCTAGAAAGCAAAGACGGAAAGTGAACCGAACAAACAGCTATTTAGTGCAGATTAAAAGGTCAAATTCACTTGTTCCACCATCTGGTGTCTATTTATACCCATCCTTGGACTGTGTGGGAGCTGGTTGGGTTTCGGATGGACCCTGACTGCTCCGAGGAGAGCAGCAATCCACCTGCACCGCCTTGGCTTGGCCAAGGGTTTGGACCCGGGGCCAAAACCAAATGATGGGGTCCCCAGGGCTCGGGAGAGGCTGACTGAGCGCTTTTGGCCAACAGCCGGCTGCGGACGAGTTGAATCCCGCTCGTCCCGTCCTCCCCGTGCCTTTGCAAACAGGCTGTGGGTTGACGAGCCACCCAGGAGGGAATGCCGCCTTCTCCAGGGTTTCCTTCCCGGCATCGAGGCTGAGGATGTGGGTGTCGGGATCAGATGTGGGGCAGCCACGGGGTTGGGTTTGGGGAGCCCCGAGGTGGAAACGGACTGGTTGTCTGCCT